ATATTGAAAAACGAATGAACGAATGATACACAGATGGTGATGACTGTTGTTATAATTTGGTGGTTTAGTTCTCAATGACCCAATCAGAAAGCAGAATGAGTCTCACATGAAGTCAAAAAGGACTAAATCCTCACTTTAAACCCCAGCACCTGCAGCCAGGAAACAGCTCAGAGCCTCTGCAGCTGCACTGTCCAACGTCCATCCACCGAGCAGCCCAGGTTCAGCTGTGATTGTAATAACCTTTTAAAACCATAAAACAGAGAGCTAAGAACCAATCAGAGCAGAGCGTTGCCGTGCGTTAGCCCTCACAGTGAGTACAATTTGCGTACAATGAGTTCCAGGGACTGTGGCTGGAGTCGGGAGGAAAAGAGAAAAACAAAACCAAAATGTTTTAAATGAAATCCAAAAATATGGTCCTACGAACTTACAGTACTGAATTCATGAATGTAAGAGTCAGATTTTGCCCGTGTGCCGTGAGTCTGTGCATGGAGGCGTCACGTGCACTGTGGCGTCACGTGCACTGTGGCGTCACGTGCGCGCTCCTGTTGGACCGCTCTTTGTTGCTATGTTACGGAGGATCTGGGATAAGAAGCTGAGATAATTTTTCATGTTGTGAGGAGCTTTGGAAAGCCTCTGATCCTCTGCACCAAAACATGAGCAGTGAAAGGGTCAGAGCAGGTGAGGCTCGCTCCGGCCTCATGACTCTGACAAACCAATCACGGTAATTAAGAATGAGACAGGACGCAATATAAAAAAGTAAAAAAAACAAAAAAAAACAGTACACTTTATTCTTCACGTGAGAAAGTGAAAAATGTGTCCTCTGCAGTAAACTCGTCCTTCAGTGCTGCTGAGGCAACACATCAAGTCCCACAGACGTAAACTTCTGATCCAGATCTCGAGCTCGTCTTGGTCAGGACCTGAGCTTGGACTATTTCACTTCTAGGTGATGAGGAAACCAGGGGACGCCCACCCAGATACAGGAAGAACATGCAAACTCCACATAGAAACACCATGGCAGCTCGGGAATCAAACCCAAACCCCTCTTGTGAGTGCTTATAATAATTATTTATAATGATTAAGATTATAGTGAACATTATTATTAGATAAGAGAACGTTTACCTGTCCCACATGGGTCAATTTCAGTGTTGCAACAGTCAGGATTAGAAGTTACATTTTAAAAGGTGAAAAATATGCAAGTTAAACAACAAAACATGAACATATTATCAAATATATTAAAGGGCCACTGTGTATGTTTTTAGATGGAGGGTCCACATCTCCAAATTCTTATTATATTTTTCAATAAAAATGTCTGTAATTGGATAAATGCACGTTGCATAAGTTTATACAATATTGTGGAACATTCTAGGCAAAGAAATGACATCTCTATGGACAAGAGGTTGGCTGACCAGAAAGGTTAGTGCACCTTTTAAAACAGACCTATTGTGTGTTTATGTGCACTATATAGTTATAATCTATGGCGCCCAAGGATCATTTTGTTATAATTTACACATTTTAAAAGACAATATGCATTTAAAACAACTTAAAAGAAACAAATCCACTGACTTCCATTTTAGAAAACTGTGGGGCCCAATAGAAGCTGACATCATCATCACAACAAAGAGCTGTGGAGTTGTCCGCTCCTCCCATGGATAACAGCACATCACACTAGCGAGTAACGGATTCTTTTCATTTGTACCAAAATGACAATGTAACGCTGCTGAATTCTAGCCAGACTGATGCCACCTAGTGTCTCCGCTCAATTTAATTTAATTTCTCTCCAGCGACTTGGTCAGGAATCAGAATACACTAGATCAGGCATGTCCAAACTGTAGCCCGTCAGACAATTTTTTCTTGGCCCTCAGGCTTCCAGGTGAATTGGCCCAAACTACCTTGTATCAAGCAACTTTTTTGAAAATCTACCTTGATAAAGCTGATATTTAATATTTAGTGCTTGGTTTTAAGGATCTTAGCGAGAATAAAGACCAGTCTACCAGGCTGAACACCAGTCTCCAGCCCTCGATCAGCCCTCTGCTTCGTCTGGGTTTAGATTTGTGGCCCTTGATGAAAAAAGTTTGGACATTCCTGCACTAGAGGCTTGCAAGAACCACGGAAGTTGAAGAGCGAAGAGCCATGACGTCAAACTCAAGGGTCTGTCTGGGTCCCTTTTGTGGTTCAGCACAACAGTAAACAAAGCGTCGAGATGGATGTAGACCAGGGGTGGGCAAACTTTCTGGCTCGCGGGCCACATAGGGTCCTAAAGTTTGACTGAAGGGCCGGACAGAAAACAGGACATAACGAGTTAAGAGCTCAGATTCATTACATTCTTATTCACATTTATCTAGGACTTCAGACGCGCTACACGTTTCATCGCTGCTGTGAAAGATTCAGAACATGAAACTGTTCAGACCTGTTCCACTGCACAACACGAGTCAATGTATATCATGAGTTCACCGTTTTCAAATATGACTGGTAACAGCTCAAAAACAAAGCTCACGCCAAACAACCACAGATATACACCTATGAGTGTGGTAAAACCTGCCTCCAAAATGCTGTACACATGAATAATTACAACTCAGAGTCCATAGATTCATTCATTCATTGATTTTTACCAACTCAAAATGGAAGCAGTTCAGTCTTATATCTTAAGCACTACTTCACTCATGGTCCGAATAACTCCTATAAGAACACTTTCCCATAAAGCATTGCAGCCAACATAATACGCCGCAACTCAATGTATATATAGTGCGCCATCTAATGTGCCCCCGGGCCGTAGTTTGCCCACCCCTGATGTAGACAAAGATAGACATTCTGTGTTGGCAACGATTCCCGAGATCGAGGATTTAAAGCTGAAACAGAGAGAATGTAAGACAATAATATCTTTCTCGTTAATGAAAGACGTTATTGCCCTTCTTCCTACGGGATTTGGTGCATTACATATGCCACAACCACACGCAGCGATTGGTTAAATAAAAAAGTACCCGCCTACCGTTGAGCGAACAAATCCTAATGCTGCGAGATCAGACAGTTTCTACAAGGTGAAACCGTCTGATGAATTAGGCCAGCCGAATCCTACAAGTATCACCAATTAAGAAAATTAAACTGAAGAACAAAATAAGCACGTCACAGTGGGCGTGTACAGGTGAAAAACTGCAAAAATAAGCGATTAAAGATTGCTCAAACTCTCCAAATACAAGTTCAGAGGGTAAATGATGAGGGGAACATGGTTGAAAGCTCTGAAATGTCCATTCTGCTTCAACTAAAATATCAAGGAATAGGTTGAACACTTTGAATCAAATGAGATATTGGTGAACACTGGTGGTGTAACGATATCCAAGTCTCACGATACAATATCCTCACTATATGAACCTCACGGTACGATATTTATTATGATATCGTGGGAAAGCTCACGATATGGTGGGAGGCTCATGATTAGGGATGTAACAATATCCAAATCTCTCAGTACGATATTTTCACGATATACATCTCACAGTACAATATTTATTGCGATATTACAAAACTGTTAATATGCTACTTTTTCTTCTTAAAATGCCTTGGCAAGACTCCAAATAACTAAGACTTAAAAGTGCTTAGAACTGTTATTTCTTCTTGTAGTCTGCACTGAAATGGAGCAAAGGATCATGGTCTATGTAGTTCTCCGTCTTTTTTTAGCTATACACGCACCAAGAATCTCGGACTTCTGGTCATTGCGCGGGCAAACTGGGAAGGATTTTCCAAAAAAGTGAGCATCAAATCTCCATGTTTGTTTTCCCAGTGGGATGCGTCTATTGACAAAGTCGATCTTTTCAAGTCTTTTGAACCATATCGCTTTTGTTTCTGGTTCTGATATTGTCATATTTTAGTTTTGGGATTCGGACATCGTTAATTCTGTGGTTGTTGGATCCTAACAGCGGGAAATGGCTCGAAAAATTAGTTTGTGAACTTCATAAATGCAAAAGTGAATCAGATCTGTGTGACTCAAACCTCCGTTCAAACTGTTTCCCTTCCCAACGGAATTGAAAAATAGTGAAAGGTGAAGGTGATGGGCAGGATTGATCCACAGGAAGGACGAAAAAGGAAATCTTTGACTGCCTAAATCATCCTGAGTTTGCAGAGAACATTTTGTATGTGAAGCGCCAACAAAGTAAAATCCCGATCCCTCGCTCAACCTTGGTTACATATTTAAAAAGTCAACACCAAAGCAAAAGGCACCAGCTGTTCACCAAGAAACACCTTCCACTGCAAAGAGACCAAGACGTGATGTTGCTGTAAAACCACAAGAACAAGAAAGTGCAGCTCAGTCTGTTTGTCTTCTGTACCTTTCGCTTAACAAACGGGATCCCGCTTTGTTGTCGCTCCACATACAAAATGTTTGCTACAAACTTGGGATGATTTAGACAGTCAAATGTTTCCTTTTTGGTCCTTCCTGTGGATCAATCCTGCCCATCACCTTCACCTTTCACTATTTTTCAATTCCGTTGGGAAGAGAAACAGTTTGAACGGAGGTTTGCAGTCACACACATCTGATTCCCTTTTGCATTTATGACGTTCGCAAACAAATTTCTCAAACCGTTTTCCTCTGTTGGGATCCAACAACCACACAATTACGATGTCTGAATCCCAAAACTAAACTACGACAATATCAGAACCAGAAACAAAAGCGATATGGTTCAAAAGACTTGAAAAGATCGGCTTTGACAATAGACGCATCCCACTGGGAAATCAAACATGGCGATTTGATGCTCACTTTTTCGGAAAATCCTTCCCAGTATGCGATTGTGCAATGACCGGAAGTCCGAGATTCTTGATGCGTGTATTGCTGCATCATAACTCTTAATTTAAACAAAGAGACTTGTAATTCGATATATTGTGATGGTCCACGATATTATTGTGAGAACTTTGACGATACGATATCACGATATTTCGGTTACTGTTACACCTCTAGTGAACACTGTCGAACATTCAGTGAGTACGATCATGCGGTGGCCCCGAGCCGTCCTCACCTGTAGAAGGCGTACATGACCAGCGCGTTCCCGGTGACGCCCAGGGTCCCGATGGCGAGGACGAAGACAGCGATTATGTAATGCGCATGGTCCGGCACGTCCACTTTATTGAAGAATGTCCCTTTGACGTGCGCGCTGTCCGGACCCATGCCTTCACCGGCCCGCATCGCCCACACGCTCCGGGAATTGAACCAGCATCCTCCTCTACAGCCGCGCTCCCATCGTCCGAGAGACTCACCAGCGACCACAAAGCTCCCGTCTCATTCAAACGGGAATAAAACGTTTAAAAAGTGTTCAAAAGTCCAGGTCAACGATGAGTTTGTAGTGCAAAAGAAACAAAATCCACTTTTGTCGATAGATAAACGAAATTAAATCAAAATTTTGAAATGTAAGGAGATAAAACCGTCTGGATACAAACACACAATAGTATAGAACAGGACTGGAGCATTAGTGTGTAGAAAAAATTGACAAAAAAATAAAAAAGTAAACGAATATTATGTTCAGGTTTGCGAAATTGAAAATTCTAAATTCAGCAAACAAAAAAAAAATTATGAACACATTCCATGCGGTAGAATTGTGTTGTTTGAAAAGAACGAAAAACTTTGTCTATGAAAATGTGGGTCAAATTCTTATAAAATTTGGATGAAAAAATAAATAAAACGTACACACAAAAAGTATAATAAATATAATTTCAGGGCTAATCCAAAAGATTGTCCAAATATTTACAGTAAAATATCAAAAATCACTGACAAAAAATATATCAAAACATTGTAATTCCTGATGCACAGAATCCAAAATGTGTGTCGAAAAATTTCACAGAAAAAATGTTAAACTGTATTCCTTGAAATAGCAGAAAGAAACCAGATTTTGAGGCAGAATGTTGAGAAAATTTGCAATAATCCAGGTTTGATGAGCGGAAAGTGTCGCAAAATGAGCAAAGAGGATGAGGAAATTGAAGTATTGTGCGTGTAAAGTCCAGATTATGTCCAGATGCGTCCAGATGTCCAGATGCGTCCAGATGTGTCCAGATGTGTCCAGATGTGTCCCCTGAGAATGTTCCGTCCTCCGTCCTCTCCGTGGATACTGCCGACGGATCACTGAGCTCCACCAGCACATCGTACGGGTGGGCAGGACGGAGAGAGAGAAAGAGAGAGAGAGAGAGAGAGAGGAGGGGGTGTTTGTGAGGGAGGGAGGAGAGAGAGAGAGAGAGAGAGGAGGAGGAGAGAGAGAGAGAGAGAGAGAGGAGGGGGTGTTGTGAGGGAGGGAGGAAGAGAGAGAGAGAGAGAGAGGAGGGGGTGTTTGTGAGGGAGAGAGAGAGGGAGAGGGAGGGAGGAAGGGGGGTTTATGAGGGAGAAAGATAAGGATAGAGGGAGAGAGGAGAGAGAGAAAGAGAGAGAGAGAGAGGGAGGGAGAGGGAGGGAGAGGGAGAGGAGAGAGTGAGAGGGAGGGAGGAAGAGAGAGGGGGTGAAAGAGGGAGGGATGGAAGGGGGGCTTATGAGGGAGAAAGATAAGGATAGAGGGAGAGAGAGGGTGGGGGATGGAGAGGGAGGAAAGAGAGAGAGAGAAAGAGAGGAAGGGAGAGAGAGGGAGGAAGGAGGGAGAGGAGAGAGTGAGTGAGGAATGAGAGAGAGGGAGAGGGAGGGAGGGAGGGAGGAAGGGGGGTGAAAGAAGGAGGGATGGGGGGCTTATGAGGGAGAAAGATAAGGATAGAGGGAGAGAGGAGAGAGAGAGGGTGGGGAAGGGAGAGGGAGGAAAGAGAGAGAGAGAAAGAGAGGAAGGGAGAGAGAGGGAGGAAGGAGGGAGAGGAGAGAGAGAGGGAGGAATGAGAGAGAGGGAGAGGGAGGGAGGGAGGAAGGGGGGTTTATGAGGGAGAAAGATAAGGATAGAGGGAGAGAGGAGAGAGAGAGGGTGGGGGAGGGAAGAGAGGGAGGAAAGAGAGAGAGAGAAAGAGAGTGAGAGGAGAGAGGGAGGGAGAGAGAGAGTGAGTGAGGGGAGAGAGTGAGGAATGAGAGAGAGGGAGGGGGGTGAAAGAGGGAGAGATGGAAGGGTGGCTTTTGAGGGAGAAAGATAAGGATAGAGGGAGAGAGAGAGAGTGGGGGAGGGAGAGGAAGGGAAGAGAGGGAGGAAAGAGAGAGAGAGAAAGAGAGTGAGAGGAGAGAGGGAGGAGAGAGAAAGTGAGAGGAGGAAGGGAGGAGTGAGACAGAGGGAGATGGGGGGGGTGCTTGTGAGGTGGAGAGAAAGAGAGAGGGGGGTGAAAGATGGAGAGAAGGGGAATGGGGCTTTTGGGGAAGAAAGATAAGGACAGAGGAGAGAGAGAGGGAGGGAGGAAAGAGAGAGAGGGAGAGAGAGGGAGGAATGAGAGAGGAGAGAGAGGGAGGGAGAGAGAGAGAGAGAGGACAAGAAGAGAGGATGAGGGGGAGAGGTGAGAGAGAGAGGGAGGAAAGAGGGAGAGGAGAGACAGGGAGAAATGGAGAGAGAGGAGAGCTTTAGAGAGAGAGAGAGAGATAGGGATAGAAGAAAAGAGGAGAGAGAGAGAGACGAAGGGGAAGAAAGAGGATGGAGGAGAGAGGGAGGGGCAGCTTGTGAGGGAGAAAAATAGAGATAGAGGAGAGACGGAGGGGAAGAGAGAGATAGTGGAGAGAGAGAGGGAGAAAAGAGATGGAGAGAGCGAGAGAAAGAGCCCTTTGGCCTGTCCCTGCTCCAGCTGTGTTGTGAAGAGCTCTTTCTTTTCTTCTCTCTCTATACCTCCCTCTCTTTCTCCCTCTCTCCATAGTCACATCTGTCTCTCCTCATCCCTTTATTTCATTCTCTCATTTTCATCTCACTGACCTCTCTCTCTCTCTCTCTCTCTCTCTCTTTCCTACAGCCTTTTGTATCTCACACTTCCTTCCTCTCTCCTCATGTCTTTTCTTTCACTCTGTGCCCTCTCTCCCTCTTCCTCTCATTCCTCTATTCACCCTCTTCTTTCTACATCTCCACTTCCTTTGTCCCTCCCTCTCTCCTCATCCTTCCTCTCTCAACCCCTTCCCCCTTTCTCTCCCTCCTCCTCTATATCTTCTCAACTCTCCATCTCTCCCTCTCTTTTACCACCACTCTCTCTCCTTTCCTCTCTCTCTCCCAACACCTTTTTCGTCCTTGTCATCTTTCCAACTCTCCATCCCCCTTTCTCTCTCCTCGCCACACCCTCCCTCTCCATCTATCCATTCCTCTGCTCTCTCTCTCCCCATCCCTTTCTCTCTACATCCACTCTCTCTCTCTCTCTCTCTCTCTCTCCCCCGCCATGCCCCCTCTCTCTCTTTTCCCTCCCCCACGTACCCCCTCTCTCCCTCTAGCTCTCTCCCTCCCTTCCTCTCCATTTCTTCTCCGTCTCCCTCCCTCTCCTCTCTCTCTACTCATCCCCCTCTCCACTCTCTCTCCTGCGTCTTTCCCTCCCTCTCCGACCCCCTCACTTCATCCTCTCTCTGTACTCATCCCCCTCTTTCTCCCGCCCTCCCCCACCCCCTCTCTCTCTTCTTCATCCTCTTCTCTTCTTTCTTCTCTCTCCCTCTCCATCGCTTCTCCCTCCCTCTCTATCTCCCCCCTCTCTACTCATCCCCCTCTCTTTCTCCTCAACCCTCTCTCTCTCTGTCCCCAGCTCCTCTCTCTCCTCATCCCCCTTCTTTCTTTCTTTCTTTCTTTCTTTCTCCCTCCCTCCCTATCCCCCTCTCTTTCCCCCTCCCTCCTTCCCTCTCTCTCCATTTCCTCTTTCTCCCATCTCCTCTCTCTCTCCCTCTCATCTCCCCCTCTTTCTCCTCAACCCTCTCTCTCTGTCCCCAGCTCCTCTCTCTCCTCCTCCTCCTCTCCCCTTCTTTCTTTCTCCCTCCCTCCCTCCCTTTCTCCCTATCCCCGTCTCTTTCCCTCCCTCCTTCCCTCTCTCTCCATTTCCTCTTTCTCCCATCTCCTCTCTCTCTCCTCATCCCCCCTCTTTCTCCTCAACCCTCTCTCTCTCTGTCCCCAGCCCTCCTCTCCTCCTCCTCCTCCTCCCCCCCTCTTTCTTCTCCCTCCCTCCCTCTCTCCCTATCCCCTCTCTTTCCCTCCTCCTTCTTCTCCATTTCTCTTTCTCCATCTCCTCTCTCTCTCCTCATCCCCCCTCTTTCTCCCTCCCTCCCCCACCCTCTCTCTCCATCCTCTCTCTCCCCATCTCAGTCTCTCTCTCTTCATCCCCTTTCTTCTTTTTCTTCTTTCTTTCTTCTCCCTCCCTCTCTATCTCCCCTCTCTCTACTCATCCCCCTCTCTTTCTCCTCAACCTCTCTCTCTCTCTCCTCTCCTCCTCCTCCATACCCTTCCTTTCTCCCTCCCTCCCTCCCTTTCTCCCTATCCCCCTCTCCTTCCCTCTCTCTCCATTTCCTCTTTCTCCCATCTCCGTCTCTCTCTCCTCATCTCCTCTCTTTCTCCCTCCCCCTCTCTCGCTCTCCTCATCCCCCTCTCTCCCTCAGCCTTATGGCCCCTTCTCTCCCTCCAGTTCTCTCACTCCCTCTCCAGCATCTCCTCTCTCTCTCCCTCCGCCCTCCCCTCTCTCTCTGACCCCCTCTCTCCATCCTCTTTCTCTCCCCATCTCCCTCTCTCTCTCCTCATCCTCCTTCCCTCTCTCTCCATCTCCACTCTCTCTCCCTCCGTCTTTCCCTCCCTCTCCGACCCCCTCCCTTCATCCCTCTCTCCCTCTACTCACCCCCCTCCCTCCATCCCTCTCTCCCCCTCTCCACAGATAATACCCTGAGCTCTAACCCTCTGACCCTCTGCACTTACATAAGAGTTTTGATGTGATTGCTGACACCAAACACACACACACACACACGCACACACACACACACAGTCTCTGACACACACACACACACACACACACACTTTAGATCACTGTCCAGAGTTTTAGAACACAGACAGATTATGGGTCAGATCTCCCAAAATGTCAGGTAATATTGCATAAAGAGACTCCATTTTTTTAACAATGGGCTGAACTTAAAAAAAACTAGACTAGAAAAGCACTCAGAGAGCGCAGACCTCCGCCAAGGACTACCCCCCATTTTTTATATCATCAGCCTTTGGAATATGAAAGAGGATCCCATTGTCCATCCCTGAGTCAAATTTCATGGGGTTTGGTCAATAATTAACCGAGATATTGAGAAACAAA